GCACCCTCCGACTGAGCACCCCCAGGCTCCGCACCCTCAGACTCAGCACCCCCAGGCTCCGCACTCGCAGGCTCAGCACCCCCAGAGTCAGCACCCCCAGACGCAGCACCCCCAAACGCAGCACCCCTAGGAGCACCTGAGTCTACAGCGGACTCAATATGCTCAGCCAGGGGGAGTGGGTCTACCTGAGACACACATGAGGGAGCAGGACCCTGAGGGGGGAGGGGGTTTACCGGAGGGGGACCAGGACCGAGGAAGAGAGGCGGGGGTGGGAGAGGGGCAGTGCGGTAGGGGAAGAGACAGTAAAAGGGAACCGACTCGTCAAACGTGACGTCTTGAGAGGGGAGGACACGGCGCGATTTGGGGTGATAAAACTGCCAGCCAAGCGCGTCAGGGGGAAAGCCAAGGAAGACGCTGGAAATAGCGCGGGAGGAGAGCTTGTTCGCGGAAGTATCGCGAACAAAGGCACGAGAGCCCCAGACCCGGAATACCGACGCATCGCCAACCTTCCCCATCCAACGCAGTGTAGGCGAGGTCTCCGGCAAGGAAACACGGGGCCAGAGGTTGAGCTGATGCGCAGCGTACCAGACCGCAAACAGCCACAGAAAATGGGGAGCAGCCGCATGGATCATGGAGGTACGAGCCACCTCCATGACTAAGCCTATGCGGCGCTCAGCAACCCCATTTTGCTGCGGGGAGGCCGGAAGCGTGAACGACTGGAGGATGCCCTCCCCACGACATAAGTCATGCAAAAGGTCAGAGGAGAACTCACCACCTCTGTCAGAGTTCAGACGCAGGACAGGAAGGTCCTCGCGGAACCGCTCACGGAGCGGATCCAAGGGATCAAGACATTAGGGACCTCACCCTTGCTGCACAAGGGGAAGACCGTGGTGTAACGCGTGTAGTTGTCAATAACCAGCAGGAAGTAGCGCTCACGGTCTTGTCCACTGAGGTGGGCTGGGCCCCATACGTCCATGTGGAGAGTCTGCAGGGGAGCAGTCGTCAGGGGAAACGAGGAGTGAGGAGCGGCGCGCTGCCGCCCCTCAACGCAAGGAAGGCAGGACGGGGCAGGCGAGGGCGGGACGGGAGGCAGAGACCTGGGAAGACCAGAAACAAGGAGGCGAGAGTGCATGCCACGAAGGCTTGGCAGGGAGGGATGACCAAGGCGGTGGTGCCAAAGGAGAGTCTGGTGCGACAGGAGGCGACACGAGCAGGGGGCTGCTACCGGACCTGACGCGGACACCTGAGTAGACGCAGCTACCTGAAGAGGCTTAGTCCTCAGTGTGTACAGACTCGACCGAGGCCGACGGGTGAACGTGGCCAGGTGACAGCCCGTCCGTGTACACGTGCAGATCAACACACGCTGACCCCCAGGAGTGGTGGTAGTGACCATCGCATCCTGGAGGGCAGCGGTACTCACCAAGTTCGTAGAGAACGAGGGGAGGTGAAGACCTGAGCGTGAGCCGGACGGAACCGCCGGACATGGGAGAACAGTGGAGGAACGTGCAAGAACTGAGCCCCCTGAGGGGTTGGCCAGTCTGACTGGAACAGGTGCATGGAGTGGAGTGAGGGTGGTACTGTCGCGGAAGAAATAGCGGGAAGCACCGGAGTCAAGCGTGAAGGTGTGCAAGGCCTCAGCAGGCGCAGTACCAGGGAGAGCAGACTCACTAGCACCTAGAGTAGCAGCCTCTATACCTGGGTCGGGCGGCACACACGATGACAGTCACCCTCAGCACTAACAGACAAAGCATACATGGGAGCAAGGATGGCATCATAGTCAAGAGCAAAGATATCAACTCCAGACCTAAGCAGCTCTAGCCAGCGGGGGCGCTCAGCCTCGTCGCCAAACTCTGCGCTACAAGCGTCGTCAAGGCGGGAGAAGCAGCGGTGCTGTGTGTGAAACTTCCCGCATGTCTGACCAGCGCGGTCAACTGTGCGAATGACATACGGACAGCGAACACTACCCCCAGACGCCCCACACTGAGCAAACCACTCACGAAGCTGCTGGGGCGTAGGGGTCTTGCTCCGACGCTGCTGCTGCTGCCTCTGGCCACCGCCAGAACCTCCTCTCTGAACAGCTCCACCCCGACTGCCACCACTGCCGCCGCCACCACTCCCACTGCCGTCACCACCGCCACCCCCACCCCCACCGCTGCCACCACCGCCGCCACCGAAGCCCCCACTCCTGCCACCACTCCCACCGCTGCTACCACCTCTGCCACCTCCACCGCCTCCACCACCACCACCCCCACTGCCAGCGCCACCACTCTTGCCACCCTTGCCCTTGCTGCTGCGGCGCTTCCCACTAAGAGCAGAAGCAGCCCCGACATCCTCAGTACCAAGGATGTCAACAGCAGCAGCAGAAGCGTAGGAGGGGGCAAGGGGGGAGGGGGAACACCCCTCAAAGAAGGGCGTGCGAGGAGTGACACGAGCAGCACCTACAGCGACTATGCTAGTCTCAGCTGCAAAGAGGTGCTTCTCGAGCAGGTCGACAGTGAGGTCTGTGGGGTCAAGTGCGAGAAAGTGGTCCTTGACTGCGCGAAGAGAGTCAGGGAGGCGAGTGACTATGAAGTAGAGAGTGATGTACATCGGGGGCGGGTTCTTGTCTAGGAACTCGGCTGGGAGGGCACCGCGGTAGCGAGTGTCATTAATGCGAAGGTGGGTAATGAGGTCCTCGACTGACAGCTCGGGAAAAAGGTAGGGCTGCATAAGGCGGCCTAGAGCAGCAGTGGCAGGGGAGGAGTAACGAGCGACTACAGCGTCATACAGGGCTTTAGCAGTCTTGTGCTGGCCAAAGTGAGCGCGTTTGGCTAACGGCAGGTGGTTGCGAACGACTAAGCGAGCAGCAGCGTCACGGGTAAGCCACTGTGAGCGAGTCACACTGTCACCTGTGGCGGGAGGGGCGAGAGAGGATCCAGACGTGTGGTCAAACAACGAAACGATGTCTCTAGAATCGTTCAGTAGGTACAACTGTAAGTCGTCGAGCCACGTATCGAACTGGATAAGATGGCCCTCTTGATCGAAGGTGAGAACACTGAGAGAAGCCATAGCGGGCTGAGCAGGGTGGCGCGCGACCAGCAGGGCAGCATGCAAGCATAGCGCGCGCGAGCACTAGGGAAGCGCGCAGGGCAAGGAGAGGCGGCGCACGGCTAGGGAAGAGCGGCGCGCGGCCAGGGCAGGGCAGTGCTATGGCAGGGGAGGGCGGCGGCCAGCAGGGCGGCGCGTGGGAAGGGCAGGGCGGTGCGGCTGCCGGCAGGGCGGTGCGGCTGCCAGCAGGGCGGCGCGCGGGCAGCAGGGCGTCGGCCAGCAGGGCGGCGCGCAACAGCAGGGCGCGCAGCAGCAGGGCGCACAGCTGCAGGGCGGCGCGAGCAGCAGGGCGGTGCGGGCAGCAGTGCGGCTGCCAGCAGGGCGGGCAGCAGCAGGGCGGCGCGCAGCAGGGCGGCGCGCAGCAGGGCGGTGCGGGCAGCAGGGCGGCGGCCAGCAGGGCGGCGCGCAGGCAGGGCAGGGCGAGGCGACGGCCAGCAGGGCGACGCGATAGGCAGGGCAGGGCGACGTGCGGCCAGCAGGGCGGCGCGACGGGCAGGGCAGGGCAGCGCGACTAGTGGGGCAGCGGTATGTGGTGGGCCCTAAAATAAATGGTCGTGGAACAGGACCTGCTCTGAAACCATGTCAGAATACTGAACGAGAAAGAATGCATTGAGCAGAAAGTTGGTACAAGTACTAACCCTAATTGGGTTGTACCCCTTATGGGCTACCCCACTACAGCCTACACAATATAAGCATTATAACATTTTGACACAGCAATTCGCCGAGATTCTGCAAGCTGCCCGCACCACAGCCGCAGAAGCAATAAAAAAAGCCAACGTCATCGCAAAACGAAATGCTGACCGCCACCGACGCCCAGTCACGTACCAGTCGGGAGATTACGTACTACTCGACACATATAACTTAAGACTGCCCATCACCCCAGTTACTGCCCATGTACTGTTACCGACGGACTGGTACATCAGCCCATCATTCAGCGTCAGCCTGATTCGCCCTTACATCCCAACCACGAGCCAACTGCCTCGTCACCGCCCGCCATCCATGTCCCGCCCTGCATCGGAGCCGATCATTGAGCCCGAGAAGATTCTGAGCCATCGGACTCGACACCCAACAGGCATCAAGGGGATCGAGTTCCTCGTTCGTTGGAAGGACCGCACGCCAACTGAGGATAGCTGGGTGCCCCTGGCCAACATCGAAAAACACCCTGCCCTACAAGTGTACTTGAGGAGCCGAGGTTTAGGCGATATACACGCACTCGCGTAGCGGAGGGGCCTTCTTGAGGGGGGGAGGGGTAGTGTAAGGAATTTTCTCGCTATTCCTTACTGCGACCGTCAACATCGCGTACAGCCGCAACCGTTGTTCGTCCGTTACTGCTAACGGGGCTTCGCCATCTTCGCGCGCACTGTTTCACCAAACCTCGCACTGCTGGAGCAGCCGAGTCGGCCTACGCTTCGGGACTAGCCCGAACCTCGCGCCAGCGTAGCACTAGCTAGCTCGCACGCACCACGTTACCGTTTGCATGTTTCGCGTAGAAGTATTCGCTCATGCCTTCGCTCATATTTTGTACTTATTGAACACTCTAGTGCAATCCTCGCTACCTCGATTCATTGCACCCGTAACACATATCCAGGCCCTCAGATTCGTTTTTAGCCTGTCTGATTCGTCAGACTCTCCCAACGTTGTAGTCTGAATCTGACAGAGTTGCAAAAAAAAAAAAGGCTGATAGTTCAGAGTTCCCTAAAATAAAAGTCTGAAAGATTCAGAATCACCGCCTATCAAGTCTGATTGTCTTTCTAGCTGTCTTGCTAAACTGTTTGTCTTGTTTGAACTACGTAACGTACATTGCAAAAGCCTACATACAAAATGCTACTTTTCTTTGATTAGCCAGAGCTATAACTACCCTATTCATGTATCCTAGCACTACAACATCCTACTAATCCTCCTCTCCTAGACTCCTACTCATTAAATCCATCATCATCATCGGAGTCAACTGCATCCTGCTCATCTTCTAGGTCAACTACATCCATCTCTTCATCTGCCTCCCTGCCCTTCTTGTTGTGTTGCTTTCCTGCAGGCGGGAGTGGAGCGTTGCTCTGGGGCTTGCGCTTCTTGTAACTCCTCCAGACTGTCACAATCTCATCCCAGTCGGGGGCGTAATCCATCAAGCTCATGCACATAAGGTCCCCCAGGCGAGCATCCTTGAGCGCGCCCCTCTTCAACGACTTAATGATGTTCTGGCGGGAGAACCCCCGCTCGCACTCCACGGTGCTCAGCGGCAGTACAGCAACCGCCACCCACAGGAGCACCAAGTTGGGGTAGTTCTCCCGCCAGTCGGGAGTCTTGAGCATGGCAGTGAGACCCGCGTGAAAACTGCGCTCGCCCTTGGTAGATGCTGCAAGCACCGAAGTGAACATGCGCAGCTCCTTCTCTGCGCGGCGCTTGTCAATTCCTGACGGGATAGGAAGTAAAACAGGAGGAGCAAGCTCAGAACCCAAATTCAAACATTCATTGAAGCGACATGCAATACAAACGATGCATCGGGGTAGCCTGATATTAAAACCAAGCTGCTTAATGGCTTACCTGGCAGGATCTCATCCGTCCGGTCGGCCTTGAACAGCGTGACAAGCGACTGAAGCCACTCGAGGCACCTGCGGTTCCTCTCTCCACGCTCCAACGGGTACTCGTCGGGGGTGAAGAGCCTAGCGCCGGACATCCCGTTCAGGTCGCCAAGCCGGTGCTCCAGTTGGTGCACGATCACCTCGGCGAACTCTGTGCAAACCTCCACACAGCCATCGTGGGTGCCGGGCCCTTCAAACTCCTCCAGCTCGTCCTCGTGCAGCACGAATTTGAAGCGTGCTGGTCGGCCGTCCGAATCAATCCCTTCAACCTTCACCTCCCGGTTTCCTCCAGGCCCATGGCGCGCGATGAAGGGGGACAGCAGCTCGCTGACGACGCAGGTTTGCCGAAGGTCAAGGTCGCCTGCTTGAGACGGGTCGTGCGCGCCGTGGTCTGAGTCGGAATCTGCGACTGTGAATCAACGGTTGGTTCCGCAGATGTCTCTGCCACATGGTCGGCAGAAAGTGAGATAACTGGAGCCGCGGGTGCTTTCTGTATGGGAATCGTATTGGGCGTGGCGCGTGCAGCTTTATCGAGATCTAGTGTACTAAGCAAGAAGTCCAAGCCTGTTAAGGCAGGCCGCTCATCAGGGTCGTCGTCGCCTGTGGCGGGATTGTCCAGCACCGCCATGGCGGGGCTGTGAAAGAGCCTGCCGAGCAGGAACTAGAGAGATGATGGCTGAGGCAAAACTGGGCACTGGCTTGGGCCCGTGAGTTGTAGCTGAGGGGTGTGGATGAAACCCTAGCACAAACACGAAGGCCCTTTACCAAGATGGGCCATCATTGAGTTGTGTGGGTGGTTGCCTACCATGCACGGCAACGACGAGGCGCATCGTTGCAGTGTGTGGTGTGGATGTTGCAGCATCGTGGTACACGATGCTGCCTAAAGGACCGTCTGCTTGCCATCACGTTTACGTGGGTGGCAACTGCTGCAGCATCTTGTACAGGGGTGGTAGTGGAGTTCGTGACGGCGGACAAAAGATGCCAAACGCACCAATCAGTGCGCGAGTAGGGTGAAACATCCAGCTGTACGAGGGAAACATCGGGCCGCAGGGCGGCGGTACAAGTACAATGTATGTATGTACCACAGCTAATCCTGGGTGTCGGCGCGCAGGTAGATTCATTCAGAGTCGGAACTCGTTTGTACTCTGAATTCATCAGAGTACACTCCCGGAAAACTCTGAAACGTCAGAGTCAGCCTAGAGAAAAAACTGATTTTCACAGAGTTGAGACAATAAAAACTCTGAATTTTACAGAGTACACCCTAAAAAAAATCTGAAATCTCAGACTAAAACAAGCAAATCAGACAAAAAAGTCTGACTTCTGGGGGCCTGCACACATCCCACTCCACATTCCTAGATCACTTCAGTTCATATGTTTGCAAAAGTGAGATGATGTTGAGATGTAAATGAATATATTTGATTTTTTTATGTTGAAAGACGCCATGCTGGTTGTACCCCGTTTCATTTCTAGTTTGCAATGTTGAAAGACGGGAAAATACTTCAATGGTAACTTACATGGGCACTATAACGCGTACGGTAACGATTTCAACACGTTTGGTAACTCCGCTAACGCGTTTGGTAACTCGCATAACACGTTTGGTAACTCGCTTAACGCGTATGGTAACTATACACTAGCAGCCCATCACGCGAATAGTAAATACATGAAACTCCCGCCGAAATGATCATGACAAAAAAGGAATTTATCAATTGTGAAAGCGTTTACGCACAGTTTTATCTTTCTTGAACAAGTCCCGCCGCGACTTTGAAGGACCTCGTTTGTTATATTACCATGGACCGAAAAGTTTCGGAGGCGTTTTATATATATATATGTAGCTAGTACAAAAACGGTTAAAATCATATTTTTGATAGCATCATTGCGAACTTGCAAAATGATAAAAAACATTTCCCGAAAGAACCTCGGGGCTTTAATTTTTGTAATAACTGCAACGTTGGAGAATTTTTGCATGTGGGAAAAAATACAGCTGTTGAGAATTACATGTTTTATTTGAAAAAAAAAAGAACCATAAACGCCTTATCGCAATGAGTTTAGGGTTGATGCCCTCAAATTAATTTGCGATCTGAAAGGGTTATAGATTTCGTTTGCCCCGGCTGCACGATATAATGAAGTACAAACAGTTTGCGGAAAGAGCGTCAGAATGTCAGTTTTGTATTAACAGTTGTTTTCACAACACTTACGTTTTGCAATTAGCTTGAAAATCGGAAAGTGTGTCAGGATTTCGGAAAGTGTTGTCAGAATATTATGCTCTAGCCTGTAGTGGGGTGCTCTATAGCGAGTACAACCCTTCTAGGGTTTGCTATTTGTATCCTCATTCTTGCTAGTGCAACTCTCCTTCTTCTTTTTAAACTTTCACATGCTATCAGAGCAGGTCGATCCCCTTGGATCGATCCTGTGGGTGGGCTCACCACCTCGTTGCTTCCGCTGCAACTTCCACTACTACCTTCTGTGCCGCACGCCCCGTGGCGTGCGGCAGTTTTTCTTCCCGCCGTGCGCCCCGAGGCGCGCGGCGGTTTTCTGCCCGCCGTGCGCCCCGTGGCGCGCGGCGGTTCTCTGCCCGCTGTGCGCCCCGAGGCGCGCGGCGGGCTTCTACCCCGTCACTCGCCGCGTCGCCCTCGGGAGGCGCTGCGACGGGCGACGGGGACCCGCGCGTCGCCCCCCGTCGCCCGTCGTGGCCTGCGCGCGGCCCGTACAGCCGGCGCGCGGCCCGTACGGGCTGCGCCAGACCCGCGCGCGGCCCGTACGGGCTGCGCCAGGCCCGCGCGCGGCCCGTACGGGCTGCGCCAGGCCCGCGCGCGGCCCGTACGGGCTGCGCCAGGCCCGCGCGCGGCTCGGGCCGCCTGCGCGCGGTTCGGGAGGCTGTGCCAGGCCCGTGGGCGGCCCTTTCCTCGCTGCCCCTGCCCTCCCCGCTGTCCCCCTGTCAGAATCCCAACCACTAGACCATTGGGATAAAAGGGCTTGTTAAGTAGCGGGTCAGTGCGCCCATAACCCCCCAGGACAACGAGCCTGTAACCCTTCCCTACGATCAATCGGGGATCACCAGTAGACCTCTGACACCCCCGTGCTTCTGCTGGCGCCCCACCCCTCCTACAGCCCGTTCTCCTGAATTAGGGTTTGGGGGTGAGGGGTATGGGGGTGAAACTACTGTGTGCCGTTCCCTGCTCCTCCTCCTCCTCCGTCTCCCTGTGCTGCAGCTGCCGCTGAGGGGGGGTGGACTTGTTGGAGCCGTTGGAGTGGTGCTAAGGGGGGGTGAAGGGGGAGTGGAGCTAGCGGTGTAGCAGCGGGTGTGTGTCAGGAGGGGTGGTACTGTTTGGGGGAGGTCGAGTGGAGGCAGCAGTCTTGTCGTCAGCAGCAGCAGCAGTCCGGAGGCTACAATCTCCGGTAGTCGCCAGTCGCCCGTGGGTCCGTTGCTCGTCTGCCGCTACTTTTAGCCGCGGGGCCAGTTACCCCAGTAGTCCGGAGCGTTGTTCCGGTAGCCACTGAGCCAGCAGCTCGTCTGTGTGTCTGCAGCGTCAGCAGTCGCCTCCCATCTTCTCTCCCCCACAGTCTCTCCTCCTCCTCACTTGCCCTCTGCGATAGCCTCTAGCTTTGCTCATAATTGTGAACTTTAAACTATTGCTTCTTGAACTTGTGCTCAGAATGTGTGGTGACATTGTGATCCACCCTGAGCTTGTACTGCTGTGCTTGCTCTGCTGATTACACCCCACTTTGGCTATGGGGGTGTGTCAGAATATTATGCTCTAGCCTGTAGTGGGGTGCTCTATAGCGAGTACAACCCTTCTAGGGTTTGTTATTTGTATCCTCATTCTTGCTAGTGCAACTCTCCTTCTTTTTAAACTTTCACAAGTGTGTCAACATTTCGGAAAATTGTGTCAGAATTTCGGAGAGTGTGTCAGAGATTTATGCTTCAAGATTCGTCAATTTAGTCTGACGCGAGCGGGAAAAACCAGAATCAGGGTCATTTTGGGCGAGGGTTTCTTCTAGTTACCGTTCGCGTGATGGGCTGCTAGTGTATAGTTACCATACGTGTTAAGCGAGTTACCAAACGTGTTAAGCGAGTTACCAAACGCGTTAAGCGAGTTACCAAACGCGTTGAAATCGTTACCGTACGCGTTATAGTTCCCCATGCAAGTTACCATTGACATATTTTCCCTTGAAATACACCTCTACGGGTTTGCATTTCTGGTCCCTCTATGTGTGCATCCGCCAATGTACAAGACGTCCTACCGTCTGCGCAAGTGTAGTGTAGCTCAGCTCTACTCACTTTTGTGGCTCACGACAGGGTGTGACCCACGCGAAGCCGTTGGTGATTGTTTCCAGAAGCGACCTTTAGCGGTTGCCAAACAGGCACCTCACACCAGACTCGGTCATCCTGGATTCCCCAATTTATTTGCCATTTACAGAGTGTAGTGAACGAGTCTTGTGGATCCGAAATCCCGGGAAATCTCTTGGTTCTCATTTTATGCCCAGTCCCCTGCTAACAGTTTGCTAAGCTTTGAGAGTTCTTTTATGAATGGCTGTCATTAAAGTTCCGTCCTTCCGAGGTCAATTAGCACATTGTGGTTGCAATCTTCCAGAAGGCATCTGAAAATCCAGCTGTGAGTACTGGTATAAACGACATATGCCAGTCTGTCTGGTCGGCCAGCTCAATTATGAGAGTTCACTTGACGTTTTTCGCTCAGTCTTGGAAATTGCGGTACGTCCAAATCCCAAACGACCGAAACCTGGGTGCCCAGCGTGGCAAAGGTGGCTCGGGTCTTGCCCAGGGCTGGTTAGGCTTTGACCAAACCTGATCTGAGATGTTTGGCCAATAGGATCTGCTAGGGTGACCAGACCTAACCTCCTCTGGCGGTACCCGTCACCGAACCAGCCCAGCAAGCACGTGACATGCTCAGACTCGAATCGCATGCCGCGTGATGTGGATCATAATGTGCAACTGATCCCTCTGGCCCTCGCATGCTTCCATGCGGCTTGTCCTCTCGACACCAGAAGACCAGACACATTTTTAGGAACCACCAGCATTTTGGATCAATCGTCGCTAGCTCCGTCGTTTGTCTAGATTCTAGAGAGCGATTATGCCTGCTGCTACTTCAAGTGCATTTTTCCTGCATCCCAACGTTACACACTGGCTTTTCAACTTCCAGGCTCCTTACGTATATAGTTATACTACCAGAGCCGAACTTGAAGTACTTTTTCGACTCAGATACCCAGCTAACGCATTGCTTTTCCGGTTTGAGCTAGCAATCTAGCACTTCGACGAATAGAAAGAGCGGCCAGCCATGATCATGTGCCCTCGGAGCTCGTCCTTCGACGGGGCCGTCTCAGTCTCTTACCGCCCATCCGTCCCGCACCCACCTATTTCGCCGTCCGGAGTCGAGTCGCCGTCGCGGCTAGGCCAGAGCCGTTTGGACGACCTGGGGATGCGCTCGCTGGAGAGCAAGCTTGAGCTGCTCCACGCGCAGCGAGAGCTGAGCGCCCTTCGCTGCCAGACGTTCATCGACCAGCTCGAATCCGCCTTCCAATCGCAACCCCCCACCCAAGCCGTCCGACTAGCACGCCGCCCTCCTTCCGTGCGGGCGCGTCGCGCGTCGCTCGATCTGTCGAGGGTGGAGGGCGCGCAGTTGGCGCAGGAGCTGCGGTTCTACGATGAGCCGGCGAGGTTCGCACGCTCGCACTCCCACAGCGCCAGTGCCAGTCCAGCCGCCCCAGTGCCGCGTCCGCGATTCCCGCGCTCCAAGTCGCATCGCGGGCCCAGCCGAGGCTCCTCCCCCAGCCCGGCCGCTTTCGTCCGCCGCCACTCCAGCCCTGTTGTCGCCCGCCACTCCCCCAGTTTGTCGTTCTCATCAGCTGGGACGAACGGGCCGGAAGGTCTGAGCTGTAGTTTGGGGGTCCGCGCGAGCAACGTAGGCGCGCGCGAGTCTTTCATGGTGTCGCGACCAAGTCTCAAGGACCGCCCGCCGTATTCCAGACGCGGCGATGACGTGCGGGAGGCGGAGATGATGGCACAAGAGGCGACTCGATGAGAGTCGCGACTGCAGCTGCCGCGTGACAGCATGCGCGGGCAGGCCCGCGGACAGTGCGTGACGGCCGTGGAGTGAGCGAGATCCAGCTGCACTCAAGACGAGTTCACCTGGAGCTGCGCGCAGGGTTGGGGCGTCGTGTACCTGCGCGTTGGAGTTGGATTTGAAGCTACGGAAGCCGCGGTGCAGCACCTCGCTGGCGCCACCGTGCTGGTGGCGGGATGGAAAGAGAGCATCCGCGCCCACAACCTGGGCCAAACCGCGCAGCATATCGCTCATCCCAGAAATAAGTCGGCAAGGGGTTTGGGGAGGAATGCGGGGGCTTTTGAACCGTCAACTGCTCCGCTTCCAGAGGCTTTGCCCATTCCACGGCCGGAGGAGTGGTCGCCTCCATCATTCCCCTACCCACCGGAGTCGCAGCCTCAGACTCACACTACAGATGACACGGCGCGTCTGTGTGGAGGACAAGAAAGGCAACGCATACTCAGCAGCTCGTGTGAGTCTTAGGAAGCCATCAGAAGATGGCATTAGCAGCTGACAGACACGATCGTGAAGCACCATAGCCGGATCAGCACACTCACTGATCTGCTTCTACGGAATTTCTCCTTCGTAGCATCAATTCTTGTTAACATATTTGCAGCAATATCAGTGATTATAGCGCGCTTTACATATTTCATTGGGACAGCTGCTTAGTAGGTATACTATGTAGGTATTATATATTCCAATAATTACATTTTCCAGCATCAACGGCACTCTTTGCGGGGTAGTGCCGCAACAAAACCTTGAGCCGGAGCTTGGCTCAGAAGAAACAATCCAAAATGAGGCAAGAGATGGTCAAGGCGGCATGGCATGGTAAAATGACGACGCTGACTTGCTGTCTTCCATGTTCCTTCACAACCGCATTAGGAGCACAAGAGCGCGCAAGCGGGTAAAACCAATCCCTGAAAAGGGCAAAACCGAGGCCAAGGCTGGTCCGATGCACGACGGTGCAGCGGAGAGCTGGGTTGTGGAAAAGGTCCGCACGGATCGCGGCAAGGGTCCACGTTGGCGTGGCGGAAAAGGTAGTCGTTGGGGCGGCAAGGCGAAGCGCCACGGTAATGCGGAAAACTGACACTTCAATCGGCGAGTGCGGCTTGCGCCTGCTGAATCCGCGTGCGCGCGGCCCAGTGAAACACGGACTCATCGGCGCGACGCACGTCCACGCATGGGGGCCCGTGGCGAGTCGACGACGCCGACGGGGCTCTGGAGTTGACCTCCTCTCGAGCCACGCGCATACGAGCCGCACTGGGAGCAACGGTAGCCGCTTGCGACTCGCAGGCTCGCGTCGTTACAGCAGCAGGCTCTGCCGCGGCCCCGCGAGGTGCGCTGGGAGTAGCCCACTGCGGGCAGGAGAGCGTCCGGCGGCAAGATGGCGACGACGTGCACGACTGCTCGCAGGCGATCTCGACGGCGACGGACGGCGTCGCGCACGACTGCGTGCGCACGAGAGTGGGCCGGCGGGGACTGCTGCCATGGCACGCGGCATCCCAATAGTAAAGACGGCGCTGGAGGCGGGAGGGAGAGGAAATGGCGGCGATGGGGTTGAGAGACGAGGAGGCGGGGTGGATGGTGCAGTCGCAGCGCGTGGAGACGAGCGATGAGTCCGTGCTGGGAGCGGCCGGATGAAGAACGACGTTGGAGGGAAGCACGGGCAGAGAGCTGGTCTTCAGCAGTGACGAGGGGGAGAGAGCACCGCCCATACTGGCTGACTGACACGAAGAACCTTGAAGCTAGGCCATATAGCGTAGTTAGGCTCAAAATTAAACGAAGTAGAGACACCCAGGGCAATAAAATGTAACGCTGCTGAAGAATGAATTGGTTCGAAGGGTCATGTTTGTGGGTCAAACTGGGAAAAACTTCAAGCCAAGGCCTCTTTATCTGCCTCGAAAGCTTCCAGTGGGGGACACAACAGCCCTGGACGGAAAGCAGAGAAAGCGGGCCCGCCACAGGCTTGGGGTTGCTGTTGCAGACGAATTGTGAGAGGTGGAGGCATAGATGAGGCCATGTGCGCGGTCCTAGCACTGTTCCGCGCATCATGCAGGGGAGGGGAGTAACAGTGAGCACACATGCACTCAGCGACGGAGGAAACAGTGCGTGCTTGTGGCAGCATTCGGAACTTGTGTTTTCCGAAGGGACCCGTCCTACCTGAGTTGGACAATCGAAACAAAATTAACTTCTAAATGCCGTCATGTGAACTGAGGTCGTTGGGTGCTTTCTGTTTTGGCATAACGTACAAAGCTGTAAATCTACACTTCAATCTGCCCCTCACAACTGTAGTCCGAAATCAGGGACCTTTTCCCTGATTGGAAGATATACTGAATCTGTACAGAAAGGCACCAGCGATGGATCTGCAGCATCTGCCTCGTTCACGTTCGATTGAACAGTGCATAATCCAGCTGTCGAAGTGTTGCCCAACTTCCGGCGATGGTTGGGTGAGGTGAGGAGGTGACGATAGTCATCGTTATTGTAGGGTACAAACCGGAAGTTCCTCCACATGAGCAAAGGACCGATGAGCTGATGTGGTTGAGATTGGCACCCAGGCTAAGGCCCATCACCGAGGAGGGTGGGGTGGGGATTCTTGAACATGCGCGTCCCTAACCAGGGTGTACGAATGAACTCCACCTTACGTACCAAAAGTTTGAACCTGCGTAAGTCAATGCACCACCATCTGAGATGAATAATCACCAAAGCTTGGTCACCGTTGTTGCGTTGGCGCTTCATCTCCTCCACGCAGAAGGGAACGGCATATTGAGCTCGTTAAGTTTGAAACCGTACTAAACCTTCGGTTATTGTATACAGGCCGCTTTACCACACATAACATCGCACCTCACCGTAATAAAGTGCTCGTGTGATACGCCCCTAATGCCCAGAGCGTGAACGAAATGGCAGTTGTACGTGTACTACGAAAAGCGACACTGTCACGGAAACGGGAGCTTCTGGAACTACTGTAGTTGGCGCCGTCAGCTCGAGAGAGGGGGCTGGATTGTCCTATCCTCAGATTACAACACAAGTTGGAGCAGCAATTCTTGTGTCGCACAATGCAACCCTATGCTCAGATTACAACACAAGTTGGAGCAGCAATTCTTGTGTCGCACAATGCAACACGCGTGAAAAAAAAAACGCGTGAAAGGACAAGGATGGCTCCTGGTAACCAGGTGTGCAGCACGAAAGATTAAACATTGTGTGCATTTGTTGTAAAAACGAAGGTATGATACCATAATCCAGTCATTTTTATGCTATTGTAAGGAAAATTCATTTTTCTTACTTCGCGTCCCTGCTCAGCGCGTACACCGCTGTTTCCCGCCAACAGCACCCCACAATCATCCGTTACCACTCGCGACATTCGCCTCGACACTATTTCCGCCACTGTTCACGACGCGACCCAACCTCACGGTTCGGTTGGTAACCCGCGCTCCGAACCTCCGCCTCGACAATCCCCAACCTCGGCGCCAGGACCGTTGCGCACCCCATTTTCCACACGTTACCGTTACCACTGTAGCTTCGCTATATATTATTCGCTCAATCCTTCGCTCGTTGTATTCTTGCCTCGATAGTGCAATCCTCGCTCGCTCCCTCAATTGCACTTGTAACACTTGGTTATCATAGCCTACGATCTTCTCTCGGACCGCACCCACACCTTCGTTTCCCCACTACCTCGAATTTTGGGGGGGGTGGGGGGGGGAGGGGGTAGACGTCTCTCAGCGACCAAGCACCGCCGCTCGCAGTCCTCTCTCGTAAGCACGCACGGTCACGACAGAGGCTCTCGCTGAGCTTGCCCGACACCCCCGCCATGGCTGAAATTACTCTCGCGACACTGACGCAAGCACAGCTCGACCGTCTCGTGCGCCAACTCGAGGATTCGGTCCTCGAAATCGCTAAGCTCACGGCGGAACGCAACTCCACTCGCCAGCAATCGACATTGAATGCACCAGCACCAACAAATGCACCCGCACAATCGGAGGAGCCGATCGTCATCTCATCAGGCACACCGACACAGAACGACAGCGTGGGACAACGCTCAGGCGTAGCCAGTGATGGCGCCACTCCCTCAATGCCTGGCATGGAGAGAAATAGGGCCGCACCAAGCCCGCGGGAGCCTCGCGAAGCTCGTCGGCACGTGGAATTTGCAGCGACAAGGGGCGAGCAAGCCATCATGGCACCAATGCCACTCAAGCCGTAGCCCCCGCCCTGTTTCGACCCGAACCAACGTGGAGGTCCGACGGTTCAGTCGTGGGTCTTCACGATGAACGTCTTCTTCGACGCAAATTATGTCGAGTCGGACCCAGCGAAGATTCGCTACGCTGTTTCGCTGCTGAGGGGCCCCGCCATGGACTGGTGGCGAATCATCGTGATGTTGCCACGCGCCTACGAGCCACCGTCGCAAGAGGAAGGGCCCACGGGCCCAGCCTGTTAGAATCTTACGGGAAAAGTTGGGTGTCGACTATCGAGGGGAAAGGTACAAAGGAGAAACCTAAGGGGTTGTACCCCACAGTGAGTACCCCACTAAGCCTAACCAAACTATAACATATATACATATATGTTTGACACACCCCCATAGGCAAAGTGGGGGAGAACAGAGGGTCACAAGACCAGTCAGGAAGTGCAAAGCAAGCTCAGGGTGGATCACAACGTCACCACGCAGTCTGAGCACAAGCAAGAAGGCCACAAGGCCAGTTCACATGCAGAAATATATATGTAACAACAACAGTACAGTGATATCTACCTACAAGAACAAGCATGCAGGAATACATATAAGTCATGGTACAAACAAAGCCTACAGCAAGTGAGGAAGAGTGGGCACAAGGCCTAACAAAGTGCAGAAACGCTGATGATCACTAGGCGGAAGCGCCTTGGTCAATATATCAGCAGTGTTGGCCCGAGTGGCCACGTAGGTAAGACGAAGCTGGCCACGCTGCTGCAGCTCTCGAGCAAGAAAGTAACGGAGAGCGATGTGCTTTGTTCTG